GTAAAAATAGTAAAAAAAATTTCCATTCCTGTTGATTTCTACAGTGAAAAAAACACACAAGGTTTACCAAAATTATAAACTTCTCTCCATTTGTTTTCCCACATAAGTTATGTTTTATAATGAAATTTTACATAAATATCTATATAAATCTGAAAAATCATTCAAATATGTTAACATTTTAAAAGTATTCGGAGATAGGCGGCAGAATATAACTATCGTTTGCAGTGATATGATATATTCAAGCATGCGCATTAAAGTATTAAGATAACAAAATAGGCAATATCATCTATAAGCAGTGACAGCTGGCAGTAAGCAGTGACAGTTGGCAGTACGCAGTTGGCTGTCGTATATGGAATTCCATAATTTTTTAATAACAGAATAATTTTTGCTGAGAAAATTTTCTTCAGAAAAGTTTTGTTTATCATATAATTTCATAAATTTCAATATTGTGAACTTTACTCCAAAGACTAAATCACAAATTAAATATGATTTGTATATATCTGAATCTATAGGCATTCTGCAAGCCATCATGTTCACCTATCTCCTTAATGTTGGCACACCTGATCATGATATATCTCTAATCATTGGAAGATATCAATTATTTTGATATGTATAATGTATCAATTCAAATAATTGAAATCTCTTCCAAAAAAAAATACTTGTAATGGTATCTTCAATTCTGATTTTTTAATGCAGTATTTTGTTGAAATGAGGTGCAAAGTCATGATTTCTAAATACGACTTTGTTGCTCTCTTCAAATGGATTAATATCGACAGTTGAATTTATGCATGCACAAATGAAAAGATATGTGCCACAATGCTCATCCTTATTGTTACATTAATTCTGTTGTTCTTGAGAAAGAGATTTTTTAAAACATACTTAGCTAAGTCTCATCTAAGTTGCTTCGACTTTTGACATTACTGTTTATTAGTATATGCATGATGTTTCAAACCCAGTTTTAAAGAAATTATTTTAGATACTTCTATCAAATTAATACACTAATACAAATTTGTAAGTATTATTTAACTGTGACATAATTTGCTGACATTAACCTTCCTTGTGACCTTGAACTAACTATTTGTCCTAATGCTAAACATAGAAGAAAGTACTTTTTTCCATGTTGCATAATTAATTAACCCTAGCTGGGGCATTCATGTCCTATGGACATATTTCTAGCTTTAGATTTTCCCAGTAGATATTCCTATGGGACCACCCTATTTCAAATAAACCACACAGGGATAATATCATCTATCACAATTAATGCTCTGCTGGTCTTAGGAACATTAATTTTTATTGTGTTATTAATGTTGTTTAATGATTATTAATTTACATTATATTCTCCTGTCTTCGCTTGCTCTTTGTTTGTTTATGTTTGTCACAATGGGATCTTCCGCTAGAAGAGTCCATTTGTTATATTTAAGATGGGTTCTGCCCGGAGGACAATTCTATGATTTATCCAATCAAATTGAGCGGTTCTCCTGGTTTTAGTGCCTCCTATCAGGAGTTAGCTAGCGCCACCTATTTATGTCATTGTTATCCAATAATATTGCTTGCTTTCTTATTTTCAAATTCGGCATCTGTGCTATCCAATCAAATTACGGTAATCTCCTATTTCAACCCATGTTTTGGCCAGTTAGCGTCACTTTCTTAGAAAATTATCCGAGGCAGAATTCACGTCGTTTTATTCCATAATTAAGTTTTTTTGGGCCATGTGAATTACTACGACCGTATAAGTTAAAAGTTTTAGTTGCTCCTTGCAAACCTTTACCATGGATGCAACTTTCACCAGGGTTGTACATTTTTTCGGCCTCCCTTCGTGGTATGTGCTGTATGACTTTGAAGCCACACGAATTCACGCAATCTTAGTGGACTGTGATTTTCATTGTGCTAAAGCTCTGTTGTACATTGCCCTTGACTGTGCAGCTATGTGTGAGGGATGTATTTTCTGTGCCTCGGAGGAGGTTATCCCTATGCCAGCATGCATTCCTTGGCTCTCCAGGAGTGCCTAAGTGTACGACTATTTTAGCACTAAGCATGTCCCTGCTGTTCTTGAAAAAAGGATACTTAAAAATTCAAATGTATAGAATATGTATCTACTAATTTGTGCCTCCGGCACCCTACACAAGGGGACCATGATTTGCACAAACTTAATTTTGCACCGAGGATCCTTGCACTTTTAATATCACTAATCATGACCTTGTTGTTGCCGAGAAGATTTTTAGCTCACCTCAACGTAGTTAGGGGGAGCTTTAATGCAATAAAATTGGTGCTGGCTTCCCAGGTTAAAGTTTTCAGAGCAAATTTCCTTTCAGTAACTTCTGTGTCCTATATTAATCAAAGATGCATGGATGATGCTTCTAGTAAATGTTTCAGATGCTCCAATTTCAGCTAAAGAATTACCAATTTGATGTTTTTGGAGCAGGTTAAAGTTTTTGGAGCAGGTCTCATTTACAAGTAAATATATGCCCTATATTGACACAACTTGCATGGATATGATACATCTAGTGATGCACACTACCAGGTTTATGCCTCAGATGCTTTGTCTGGCCTACATTTTCCTGATGAGTAACAAGGTTTAAGTTTTTGGAGCAGGTCTTATTTATTAGTAACCAAAATCCCTATTTTGACCAAACTTTCAGGATGATTCATCTAAGGATGCACACTACCAGGCTTGCTAAATCTGACGACTACATTTTCCTAATGAGTGACATTACGTTAAAGTTTCTGGAGGAGGTTCATTCTAAAGTAACTATAAGCCCTATATATGTGGACCAAACTTGCATGGATGTCAACATCTAAGAATGCACACTACTGGACTTGCTTTTAATTAGATTATGGCTGGAACTGACCTAAATTTTCCGGTTAAGTGACAAAATTAAAGTTTTTGGAGCAGATTCATTCTAAAGTAACCGTTTGCCCTGCTTGGACCAAACTAGCATGTATGATACATCTATAAGGATGCACACTATTGCTTTAGATGCTGAATTTGAGCTATATTTTCAGCCGGGGTAAGCAACAGGGTGGGTTTTTCGGAGCAGATTCATTCTAAAGTGTCTATTTGCCCTATATATACTACCAACTTTGCATTGAAGGTACATTTATTGATGCACACTACCAAATATGCCTTAGATGCAGGATTTGACCTATACATTTTCCAGATGAGTGACCAGGTAAAAGTTTTTTTGGAACAGAGTCATTCCAGTGTTACTTTAACCCCTACATGTACCTAGACCAAACGAACACTCTCATACTTGTTTCAGATGCTGGATTTGACTGGATGAGTGACCAGTTAATTTTTTTTGCCGCAAGTCCATTCCCAAGTAACTGCACGCCCTATATGAACCAAAATTGCATAAATTTTGCATCTATAGTGATGTGCACTTCTACATTATTAGTTTAGTGTGGGACTTTACCTTACTTAAAGACAACACTAGTTGAGGTGAGCTCTGTAATATCTATTTTCCTATGTTTAAAAATTGTTTTCATATTTTCATGCCCTGCTATCAATATGGTCGGGCATAATTAAAGTGTTTTTTATGTCCATCCTTCCATCCATCTGTTAGTCAAACTTTGTGTTTAGTTCAGTTTTAAAAAATCAAACTTTATTTCCTGATACATATTGATTAGAGCTTTTCAACTGCATCAACATTTCTTTTACCTTTCCTTGAGCCTTAAATTGGCCTCACTTTCCTTATAAATAATTAAATGTTGAGCTCAGTTTCAAACAACTAAAATTTTTCCTAGTATTTACCTTAAACTATACCTTGATATACCTTTAAGGCTTATTTGATCAAGCTATGGTTATTAAGCAGCATTAGAGGGATATAGTTCTCAAAAGAACTGCGAACAATAGCATTGTTCTCCCACCTACCTCCAAGTCAATTTTCAAAAGTTAACACATTTGAATGATTTTTCATATCTATATAGATATTTATATGAATTTTCGTAAAACATTGTTTCTTTGGGAAAACAAAGAGAGATAACTCTATAATTTTGGTAAAACTTGTGTTTTTCACTATAGAAATAAACGGAAAATATTTTTAAAACATCTCCTCCCCCCCCCCTTGAAACAAAAATTCCTTTTTACAGGTAATATGGACTATTATTTCACAAATTCATGCCAAAGCTTTTTGTGTTTCACGGGGGGGGGGGGGGGGGGGGGGAACATATGTCTACAGACAAAAAACTACAAAAATGCTTATTTTTTCCCCAATTTCAAAGGGGTTTACAACTAAAGCATCGCATTTTATTGATAATATATGTTTAATTTTATATGAGTAAAACATAAGAAAAGATTTAATGAACATTTATTCATATCCAAGAATATTTTAAAATGTGGTGATACCTTAAAGCCAAATTTCAATGAAAAATATCGTCTACCCCCTTATTTTATTAGTTGGAATTAGGGGTAATTAACTATTTAACACTGGAATTAAAATTATTAGTCAATTACCATTGAACTGTTCTTTGCATTCAACAAAGATTTTACGGCCAAATTGCCATTAGTATTGATTTAAATGGGTGTAAAATGTAGGTGGGAATCGAGAGTTAGCGTGCGTAGTTCTTACCGGTAACACAACTGTAGGCGCCTTAATTCATTTACTATATCATACTGCATCTTCACCTCAGGCGATTCGAAGACGATGGTAACCAATGCTTTATAATACCAGTTAATCTAGCGTTAACCTACTTGTAAAAGCTTACCACTGGCGTCATTGTCTGTGTGTTTGTAGTAGACTTCCTGATCTTGAAAGCTGTTCAAATGTTGACTTTCCCAGTCTGTCCATTCTAGACAAATATTCAATGTGCTCTAAAGGTCTTCGTGTGTTTACTTTTGTTATAAATACAAAAGTGGTTCGCAACCTTTGTGACGTCCGAGTTCTGTGACGCATGTTTTATTGTGATGTCATCGATATAAGAATAAGTTCACGTACGATCTACTTTTTATATTTTATCAAGAGTTATCTACCTTATGTTTTCATTAAAAAGAAAGTAGCATAAATTTCCCGAAATCCGAAATCTGAGTTTCCTTTTCCATGAAAATATATTCCAAGCATTTTGTAGCACGCAGCCTCACTCTTTTCTTCACGTTTAGTGTAAGTCATGAAAAATGGAAAACAACTGTTACTCAATAGGAATTAAATTATTTTTTGCATAACGTCTGAACGTTATATACTATGTTACATGTATTTGATCCACGGACGCAGTGACCAATTAAGCACTCCACTGATGATGTTCCTGACGTTTTTGATAAACACGAACAGATAAAATATTTCGTGCACTGGGGCAATCAGTCTAGAACTTGGAATTTTTTTCGTAAATAATTCTGCTGTCCTTAAAAACATCGCAAGAGATGACTTTTCAGTATTATGCAAAATTGATATATTCCTGGTATTGTTGAGCCAGAACTTTATATTTTAAATACAATGAAATATAACAGTTGATGTATACCAAATATAAACATGATAAATGGGAAGTAAATTTGATTTTTTAGACATGACTTTAAGTGCCTAGATACAGTCAGTGGGAATACCAAACAGTGACCTATGTCTCAATTCTAGGTCCAATGGGAAATTTCTTCAGAAAGGTATATGGCTCATTATAGATAATATATTTGCTTAGTAATAGTGACAACTCATTTGGAGGTTCTTGACTTTCTCTTTGGGGTTCCTCTGAACTGTGATAAAATAATAGCAGTGTTGATGTACATCATTGTTACAAATTAGCATTTTAAAGCATTAGAAGCTGAATAGAGTTTGATGATATGTCATAACCGGTAAATAAAGCTATAGAAATGAAACAGTAGAGGACACAAAGAGAAAGTGAATACTCAATGGTGATAGTGTGTATAATCTGTAAACAAGGTACAGTTTACTTTATAATTTTATATTATACAATTAACTACCCCTTATGAGGTCAACATGGTGAAATAAGGACCCGAGACCTGGCCCACGAGGTGACCTGACCTGACCGAGGCCACGTAGCGGCTGAGGTCAGGTCAGCGAGTGGGCCAGGTCGAGGGTCCTTATTTCACCATGTTGAACTCATAAGGGGTAATCAATTGTTTTATTATACCGATATAAGTTAAGACAATTTTTATAGGCTTAATTACTAAAATAATCAATTGTGTATTAGACCTTCATGTACGAACTGTTATTATCAGTGTTCCATTGGGATCGGGATTCGCTAGTGGAGTTGTTTACTTTTCGCCTGCAAGTCTTGTAAGTTTTTGCACCGCCGATTTATTAAAACACTCTGTGATTGTCAGTAACATGCTTTTTCGTAAATTCATCATAAATACCATTCCCGAGTACAATGACAATCTGGTGTGGACTTTTACTGTACAAAAGAGCCGAGTCTGCATTCGTTGAATTTGACATTGTAGGCCTAATGAAAGTTTCAATGAAAACAATAAATTTTATGATGCATCTAAAGGCCAATCGTATTCCGTATCATAAAAAGACTATACATATTTTTATAACGGCATTTTTTGTAATGAACAATCATTACTGTATGCATATATATATATTTTTTAATTTAAATGGAATTTAGATTAACAGGTCATTTTTAGCGGTCATTATTTATAATGACCGGGTCATTATACCCCACGTGCAATGATTCCTAGGTCATTATCGCTGTAAAGGATACTTTTTGGAGTCATTATTGAGTTTAAAAGCCTTCTAACAAGCCAATCAAATTTGAGTATTCTTAATAGAGGTATAATAAATGCCATTGTAGGTAGTGAGCTTCAGTTACTCAACTGTTAATTAAAATTGTAACCAAAGGGACAGTACAATATTTTCTCTAATGAATGCCAAGATTGTGTAGAACATCAGAGAAGAAGGGCATACTAATAACTTCTCCGTTTTAGTAATTATGATAAGTTTTCAGCTGTGGGATATATTGCAAAGAAACAAAAAATAAAAATGTTTAGTGAAATACTTAATCAAAGTAATTAAGAGTTTGAAAATTAATTTATTACTACTACAGATTCATTTTAGTCATATTCCAAATATGGAAGTAATCTTTAAAAAAAAAAAATGACCTGTTGAAGTATGTTTGTTTCTTCTTTTGCAGCTGAAGACATTTCTGATGGCTGACACTAAAGAGGAGGAGGAGGGTAGGAAAGAAATGAGTACTTTTGAAATTTATTTTTCAATACTGCTGAAATCCTAATTCATGGTATTATGAGTATACAATGTTCATGTATATTAAATTGAAGTTCACATGAGAAACTATTAATTAATTTTTATTGCCCTTACTGGAGAAAAAGAGGGGTGTTAACCAAAAAATTCTATCCATCTTGTTAAAGTTTTGTAAAATCCTTTTATCTTTGAGAATTGAAGCCTTTTATAAAACCATTAATGATGTATATAAGTAGTGGTCATGGTATTCCACATATTGAATGGTTTTTAGTATGCATAGGTACACACTAGGAGTGTGGAAAGTTGCATAAGCCACAGAGGCCACATTACATGTCTAAATACATGAAATACCAAAAGTAATCTGTTTGACTGATCATTGAGATAAGATTAACCATTAAGGTAATACATGTATAATATTTGTTGTGTTCAATTTTATTTTACAGGAAAATATCAGTTTCCAAAAACTTTGGAGGAATTTGGATACTACTTTAACAAAGGTAAATTTTTAGGTACATAAAATTTGAGAAATGTTGAATAAATCCTTCAGAGCCTTACACATATTTGAATCCCTTTGGTTTGCTACAAGTCTTTTATAAACCATAGATGCATTAATAGTAGCTATGGTAAATGGGACTGGCATAAACTAAGAGGATCATATAAATCAAAATGATTTATTGGTGATTCTCATTCAATCTTATGTACCACAACTCTCTGTGTTCTTAAGATTCTGATGTAGCCATCAAACTGCTAGGTATTTGAAAGCTTATATGGCCACCTTTTTGAATTGAATATATACAATGTAAACCAACTTTTCTTTGAATAATTATGTGCATGAATATATATATGCATGAATAAAAAGTTCACAGCCTTCTCTTACTCATGAATATTTCTTGCCACAAATTATTCATTTCATTGTGTATTTATGTAGGATAATTCCTCATTTGCAAAAATTAGCCATCATGGATAGATTTCAAACTGACAAATCATTAATAAAACTTGTGGCGAATAATACATGTAGCTGGTTTACAGTATATCAATGTAAACTATGATGATATGTTTTGAATGTATTTTGATATCAACAAGTTTTTCTCTAAATTTTTTCTCCTAGATGGGCAGATGAGAGATATGAAAACATATGAGCCTTTCAATTTTGTAGTGGATGAAGACAATCATAAATATAATCAGAAGAGATACGAAGCTCTAGGAAATGTGAGAATACTATTTGTAACTTACTATGCAGTAGACTAACGAAGAAAAGTATTTTATATTAAGTTTAGTTTTAGTCATTTTGGCTGCAGTATACTTGTGGTAATGTGATATTTCATCTTACATGATAGAATACATCATATCTGTTGTGTCAGGATGTGCCATAGTACACTTGTTATGATGATTTGGTATAGAAGGAATTTGATAGATATGCACTCTTCTTAGTGAAGTGAAGAAATAGATTTACAATGTTCTTAGTGAAATGAAGAGATAGATATACACTGTTCTTAGTGAAATGAAGAGATACAGATCATTGAATTTTGGTCATTTGACTTATTTTAGTATATTTTGATTTACAGATAATAACTGAATTTGTGTATAAATTACTAGAAGACAAACACAATCTACAGAAGGTCACAATTCCAGTGAGTATGTCAACCAACTGCATGAATGCAAATGGGGTATATGAGTTAAATTTCCATAATATCTTTACTAGATGAAATGATTTTAAATGTATTTAAAATTGGGTAAGGCAGCCTACATGTCTAGCCATCTTCAGAGTGAGAGCACTTTGGGCATAGTTCATTATTCCTTTGACAACCAGATTAATTCTACCATTTTTCTGTGTCAGGTGGATGCTGAGCCTGATGAGCCAACTTCTTTTTTCTACATGTCTGAGGATGCCCTTAATAAAGACAAACTTTTGATCCTGATTCATGGGAATGGAGTGGTTAGAGCAGGACAATGGGCCAGGAGGTAGGTTTGGGATGAGGACAGTGGGTGAGGAGGTAGGTTTGGGATAAGGACAGTTGGCCAGGAGGTAGGTTTGGGATGAGGACAGTGGGCTAGGAGGCAGGTTTGGGATCAGAACAGTTGGACAGGAGGTAGGTTTGGGATCAGAACAGTTGGCCAGGAGGTACCATATTGTCACGTGTAAAGGCCGCACTCTTGTAATAGATGCACCCCCAAAGTTGGGGGGAGAATCCTGAGAAAACGCAGTTCCTATAGATAAAACGCACCCCGAAAATGCAAATTTGGATGTATCTCTTATTTTCACAGCGTAACTAATTCAAAGAAAAAGTTTAAAAAGTTAAAATATTCGTGTCATTTCAAAAACGACAGTAGGATACAACTTTGAATTTTCTTGGCAAATTCAGTTTACATATAAGCTTTATTTACATGTATTTAAGTTTAGTTTGTATTTTAATTGTTATTTGATTGGTATAAATTTAAAGGTAAGTCCCTATTTTTTTTTCTATTATCCCAAGCATGTTACAATGCATCAGGACAGTGGGCTAGGAGGTAGGTGTGGGATCATGTTAGGTTTCTTACTAAGTTTACTTACACATTTCCCTGATCTTCCAGTATCCTTCTATCTTGTCCTTCACAGGCCTGTTCTCAGATGCAAAAATAATCAATTTAATGATGCTGTATAATTTAACTGTTTGATGCAAATTTGTTGAGATATTTCTTACTTTGGGCAGTTCAAGCTCTCGAAATTTTCAGAAGCTTTATTCCATGCACTGCTAATAAATCATAAAATAAATTGTAAAAAAAAAAAAAAAAAAAAAAAAAAAAAAAAATTATATGTAAGGATATTCAAGTTTTTAAAAAAATCTTTTAACATCTATGATTTTTTACAGACTGATCATTAATGATTGTCTGGACTCCGGAACACAGCTTCCTTTTATTGACTGGGGTATCAAGGAGGGATATGGAGTTATTGTAGCCAACACTAATTATAACAAAGCTAATGATGACAACAATGGTGAGGAAATCAGGGTAAGACAAGTCAACTACAAATCCAGCATGATTTTAAATATTTATGTCTTCCCTTCCAGGGGAGACATATTGTTTTTGTCGATTTTCTTCTTCTTCTTCTTCTTCTTCTTCTTCTTCTTCTTCATCCAAATTTTGTCCAGGCCGTAACTTTAATACCCTTTGACATTAAGACTTCAAACTTGGAACATAGATAGATGACATTAAGAAGGAGTGCACGCCACCAACATTTTTGACCTTGACCTATTTATAAGGTCAAGGTCAATCTTTTACATCAAAATAGAGTAGCCCATAACTTGAGATCCCTTTGATATTAGGACTTCAAACTTGTAACATAGGAAGAAGACCTTGAGACAAAATGCACTGCATTAGAATTTTGACCTTGACCCCTTTCTGCCTTCAAGGTCAAATTAGGAAAAAACACGATCTGACCATAACTTGAAAACTTTTTGACAATAAGACTTCAAACTTGGAACATGCAGAGGTGGTATAAAGGAGGGATGCATGCCACCAAAATTTCTGACCTTGATTCAATTATTATAAGGTCAATCTTTTACATCAAAATAGAGTCCAAGCCATACCTTGAGTACCCTTTGACATTAGGACTTCAAACTTGTAACATAGAAAGAAGACATTGATACAAGATGCAACACACCAAAATTTTTGACCTTAACCTCTTTTCTTCCTCAAGGTCAAATAGGGAAAAATACTTGATTAGACCATTTCTTAAGAATCCTTTGTTATAAAGATTTCAGACATGGAACATGCAGAAGTGGTATGAAGGAAGGATGCATGCCACCAAAATTTTTGACCTTGATCCAATTATTATAATGTCAAGGTCAATCTTTTACATCAAAATAGAGTCCAGGCCTTAGCTTGAGTACCCTTTGATATTAAGACTTCAAACATGTAACATAGAAAGAAGACATTGTTACAAGATGCAATGCTTCAAAATTTTGACCTTGACCTCTTTCTTCAAGGTCAAATAGAAAAAAAAACATGACTAGACCGTAACTTGAGAACCCTGACATTAAGACTTCAAACTTGGAACATGGAGAGGTGGTATAGAGGAAGGGTGAATGGCAACATTTTTTCACCTTGACCTATTAATAAAGTCAAGGTCAATCGTTTACAGGAAAATATAGTCTAGGTCATAACTTGAGAACTTTTTGACATTAGGATTTCAAACTTGGAACAAGGAAAGACAACATTGAGACTAAATGCACTGGATCAAAATATTTGACCTTGACCACTTTCTTCAAGGTCAAATTAAGAAAATCATGACCAGACCATTACTTGAGATCCGTTTGACATGAAGACTTGAAATTTTGTACACAGAATTTGAGTTGAAATGCACTGCATTATTATTTTAGACCCTGATCATATATTTGCACTCGTTAATGTTGGTAAAGAAGGGGAGACATGTGTTTTTTTGTTAAAAAAACAATACCCACTAGTTATCAATAAATGCAGGAAAAAAAATGGGTTAAGAGTTTTCTCCCTTTAATGCACTTTTTCCAGCTGATTTGTCAAGTAATAAATATAGAACCTTAGTTTGAATTTGAATTTATTTTATTCATATTGGTACTCTACATTAACTTAAAGGACAAAAAAAACCATTAAAAATGAAAGAACAAGCATAAGTTTGAAACCTGTAAAAACTTAACATTCCCAACCTGCAGAATTTGTGCATTGATATGTTCAATTTTAGACTTTGAGTTTATAAATTTTTTTTTAATAATGAACAGAAAAATATCAGAATTTATCATGGTGAACCAAGCTCAAAATCAAAGCAAATTAATCATCTCAAAAGTCCACTACTGTTTTTTCATAGTCTAGGATTGATGAATAAAGAAGACAATGAAAGCTCATTTTTTGATAAAACTGCTTTTGCTGTTCAAAGTTCAAAATGTCTGTATCAAAAGTTAAAATACTTAGTATTTGTGTATTTTTATTGTGTGTAAGACATATTTTCAACTAGCAGTGTAAGGAAAGCATTCTCCAATAGCCTTGCTTACCATTTTTACTTTTCAATTGACATTTGACTTCAACTCATCGCAAAGCCATGGGCAGTAACCATTTTACAAGTGAAAGTACAATGGCCATTAGCCTGTAGCTAGCAATGAAGGCTTTAACCATCAAAGCTATTGCTTAAAACATTATTTGAAGTGTCTTTTGTAACATCAGAATTACCACTGTATCATCGGCTGTTACGACACACTTTGAAAAAGAATTTCAAAGTGCATTGAATTTGTGACCAAGTTAACACACTTTAAAAAAAATCTTTTCGAAGTGCATTAATATTGACCATATTAACACACTTTGAAAAAAAATGAGTACAGGTTGGTCAATATTCTTGCAAATTTTAGGTATGATAAATAATTATTTGAACATGGTTGGATAACTTTTCGGTGATGATGTCACTTCAGGATCTAAGATATAGATTTTTAGGGGTTGTCTTGTTCCCAAAGGTTCTGGTAAATGTTGTAATAGGGAAATAGATCTTTAAGAAATAATGGAGGAATGATTGTTTAATAGCACAATTTCGTTTCTTGTTTTTAATTTTATCCAGTCTGTAATAAGTTCAATAGATGTAGGGGTCAATAAGTGACTTAAAGCATCACATTTTTCTTAGGCAAAAGGGAGGGATTATGATTTTTCCATATCATGAAAATTCTCTCTCTCTTTTTAATCTATCTTTCTATCATAATTATTCATCTATCTATCTATGGTCTGTTGTCTGTTGTTGCTTAGATCAGGAATATGGCCTCTGAGCCACTCTTCTTCAATATAATAGGGTGCATTTTTTTTTTCTTCAGGAAAGTTTATCTCAATTTTTTCATCTATTTTATGTTAACTCAAATTTATTTAGAGAGAGTTTATCAATGTCATATCAGTTATGCAAATACATATATTAGGGTAGGAAAGATAAAGAGATGGGCTGAGGGACCTTCTACATATCTTCTCCTTGTTCTCGATGAGGGTAGATCAATTCATCAGAACTTTAAAAGAAATATAACAAAATAATGCTGTCTATTACTAAAATCTTAGTCCAGAATTTTTGTTTTATACATATTTTTTCAAAGTGCATTTATTAAGTGTCTTCATGGTAAAAAAATGTTGCTCAGTGTACACTCTTAACAAACTTCGAAAAAAAATTTCAAAGTGTTTTTTTGTCCCAAATTCAATGCACTTTGAAAATTTTTTTTTATACCCCCGCTCCTAAGGAGAGGGGGGTATACTGTTTTACCCTTGTGTGTCTGTCTGTGAGTCTGTCTGTCTGTCCGTAACAAATTTTTTGTCGCAGTTTTCTCAGCAACTACTCACTGCAGGTGCTTGAAATTTTAACACACTCTTTGTTTAGGCATGCCATATAGTGGGATTTATTTTTGTATGAATCCGATGTCAACTTCCTGTTTATCCGTGCGTCTGTCCTTACCATACATAACACAAATTTTCGTCACAGTTTTCTCAGCAACTACTCATCGCAGATGCTTGAAATTTTAACACACTCTTTGTTTAGGCATGCCATATGGTGGGATTCATTTTTTGTACGAATCCAATGTCAACTTCCTGTTTATCTGTGCGTCTGTCCGTACCATACTTAATAAATTTTCGTCACAGTTTTCTCAGCAACTACTCATCGCAGATGCTTGAAATTTTAACACACTCTTTGTTTAGGGATGCCTTATGGTGGGATTTATTTTTGTTTGAATCCAATGTCAACTTCCTGTTTATCCATGCTTACAGTGTATATTCACAATACACGTCAGAGCGGGGGTATTACTAGTGAGCATTGGCTCACAGACTTCTTGTTTCAAAGTGCGATGATTTTGTCACAATTTTAATGCACTTCGAAATTTTTTTTCAAAGTGCGTTGCCACAACGTGATTATTCCCCAATTATATCATTTCAAAAACTGATTAATGTTGAGAATACAAAAACCATTTGTTTAAATATATGTTGACAAATCCTTGAATGTAGTTATCATTTCATGAATATTAACTGCACACACAATTGCTGATATTTCTATTATTTTACAGTGCAGTGAAAGCCCAGAGGATCACATGGAATGTGTATGGAAAAATTTTGTGCAGGAATCTAAGGCCAATGCCATAGGGATAGTGGCTCACAGTTATGGTGGAGTTGTTGCCCTTGATCTGGTAGAAATTGTTTCCTAAAAATAACATCCAAATAGAGTGGGAATAAATTATAATTGAAAATTATTTAAGAAAAAGTAAGCTTTTGATAGAGAAATAGGATAGATAAGACATACTTATATTAATAAACAACTGCTCTGAACAAAAATGACAGCTGTATTGTTTGATGTGTGATCAACCAAAGTATTTTAAAATTTATATTTTATGATAAATGAAAAGCATTTGAAAATAACCTAAATCATTTATACCATCTATATTTAATCAGGCCATAAACCACATAGATGAGTTTTCTAAGCGAGTGTTTGCTGTGGCCTTAACAGACTCGGTCCATAGCTTTAGCCACCAGAATGGAGATGAACGTGTAATTGAGTTTTACAGACAAGTAAGAATTTGGAAATTGAATATACTAAGATTTGAAAATTATTTACTTGATTTATATTCCACATCAGAATCAGTTTTGCTTAATCATACGGGTTATTTTTTTAAATTTGATTAAATTCTGACTGAAAAGAAACTGGCTTAGTCTGCCATTGCTTTTAATATTTTTCAATTTCTCATTTATATATTCAGTTGATAGCCATCTTGGTGACTTGCTGAAAGCATATTCATTTGACATTTTCAGCATGGTAGGAACTGGGCCTCCTGTCTGGATGAGTTAGACACTCCCCTAAAGAGCCAGTCAGATTTCTGTCCCACAGTGGCAGCTGGTAAAATCAATGTTATTTTGCTGTAAAATGTTATGTCTTTGGGCTAACTAACGAGTTCTTTATCTTTCATTGAGTTGCAGCTGTCTTGTTGCTTGTCTTGTTGAGTTTGGAATGATTTTTTTTTCTTTTTTGGCATGTTGTATTTCAATATTCAACAAATAAAATATTTGGCTACATCAGGGACGTACATACTAATCCTCAGTTATCTCAAAGTTTTTTCTTCGTCCCATTGAGTTCAAGATAACGAGGTTTGACTCTTTAGTATATATTTCCCTGGCTACATACATGTATCCTTCAATTTTGTCAATTTTAAATATTTTCTGTATGAATTTACACTGTAGACTTAATTATATTGTAGACTTTATAAAAATGAGGAGATGATATACCATACATATCTCTTTCATATGTATTTTGTTAAATTATTATCAAAATTAAATTTTCAATGAACTGTTACAGGCACAGAAAAACATGAATACACTAGCTACAGCAGCATGCATTCCATTTTCAAATTTTTGTCTGAGAAATACAAAGAGATGACAGAACCTGCAGAAGAGAAAAAAGAAAACTCAGAAAAGATGGCCTCCTCAGAGAAATTTTCAGAAGAGGAAGCCATGTCACAGGAAGTAACAGCCAGTCAGATTGATGTAGAGATGAACTCACAGAATCCCGAAGAAAGTCTGAAAGATGAACTGTGATTGGTCTTTTTAGACTTTTTGTTAAATATTCATGAGATATTTATTTTTATGCATTAAATTATAACTAATTACACTGCTTTATAATTAGTTTCATGCATTATCATACGGTGTGATGTGACATCAATTAAACTTTACATTTTGTGTTCAATTATTTGACCTTGGCATTTTTCATTACTTTTCAGTGGCCCTTTTCACAAAACATCTTACGACTTAGATAAAAATGTGACAACTCTGTAATTTTTTGTTTAAGATATATTGATTTTTTCCTTAAATATTTTTACAATATAATCTCATGTAATAAAATTATAAGACTTTTATATGTCCTACTACAGCTTAGATACTTTTTGCAGAAGGGGAAAAAAATTGTCTTAGTTGTAAGATTTTTTGTAAAAAGGGCCACTGAGCATAAAATGGTTGTACATATTATGACATAATAAATGTACATGTCCATAAAAATACTATATAGCATGACTGTTTATGTAAATATGTGGTAAAAAGAATATGTTTATTGTAACCAATAATTAGATAAGATCTGCTGTATTTGAGAAGCAGACACAGTCTTAGGATTTGGTATTGAATTTATTTTCTAAAAATTATTTACAGATGATAACTGATTTTGAAAAACGAATGCATGTATCTAGTCTGTTATTATTGCAGGTCTTACTTCTTTAATACTTCAGGTGTACTATATTTTTATTTAGATTGTACCTGCACACTTTTTGTAGGGGTTGGATAAGAAACATGCATGTTACAAGCTATACATATGTTAGTCCCTGCTTTATGTCAGGAGTTATTTAACATGTACAGAATGGGGGTCTGACAATTACTTCTAAATTTTCCACATACAACCATTACTCTGCTTTCATTTAGAAAGTAATTAAGTATATTACAATTACTTTTCCAAAGTAATGAATTTATTACACTTTACATTTTAAATGAAAATAACTCTTACATTTTATGAACATGCAATTTATTGAAAATTCACTTTAAGTCAGATTGTGAATGCATCAAGAATTTATGTCATTTTATGTAGGATAAAGTTGCAGTTCATGTAATAAAAAATGTAACTGAAAAGTAATGGTTGTTATTGATATTTTTATGAAAGTAATGCAGTACAGTTACTAGTGATTGAACAAAGTATCCATTACACATTACATCCCATAATTTTGAAAAAATGTAATGATTGCAGTGCATTACCATTACACATTACCGTAATACCCCAGGCCTTTGCATGATAAAGAAGCTGAAGCTTCATAAGCCCCATCCCCATTCAATTCTAATGTTCGTATGATATATAAATTTGCTATTAGTGAAATTGCTGAAAATTAATGCTTATCAACAATCAGGTTTTGTAATTTCCCAAAAAGACATCACTGCAGTCATCCCGTAAAATACCAGAAAGTTAGTCGAGTACGATGGCAACGTGTTGACTCAGGACCTCTGACATTGTGAGGATGTTGTAATCCATAATGAAGATGATATGGCAAGATCCTGTCCAGCTCATAACTTGAAAACTATTTGACCTAGAATTATCAAACATGGTTAATTAAAGTATCTTAGTTAAAAGGTATGTTTCACCTCACATAAAGGTTAGTAGCTGTGACCTTTAGTTCAAGTGATTTAAAAAAGCTATGATTTTAATTTGTACAACCCCAACATTTGTAGAGTATTGCAATAAGCTTATCAAAAATTGTTATAATTAAAGAAAATGCATGTTTTTTTATGATACACAGCAATATATAACAATATAATCTATTTCTTTTGTGTCAATAACAAGAAAAAATTCCACTTGTCCAATGACTGTAATTATCAAGCAATGGTGTTTCAAGGAGCATTTTGATAAAAGACAAAGTGTATCTGTCAAATTAGAGATTAACTCATGAGACTGTCTAAATCATTTCTGTTGGAGCATCTCTGATCAGACAGATGTTATCTATATCTGTCGGGAATTGGGCAGAGGAATCTGGCCTCTTTATTGCAATTGATAGCATCTGAAATGAAAATAGTTTTTTTTCACTAGCCTTTATTACGTCGCAGGTTCAAATCCCACTGGAGGATGTGCAGACTGGTCCTTCAGATGAGACCGTATAAACAGAGGTACCGTGTCCCAGTAGGTGCGTGCAAGAAAAAGATCCCTCACTGCTCAATGGCCCTGAGTGCCGAGTATAGGTCAAAATTTGCAGCTTTCCACCGCCAAGTGGTGGCGTCTCCATATGAGTGAAAAATTCTCTCAAGGGACGTTAAACAACAATAAACAATACAAAACACTAGCCTTTATTTTCAAAATTTAATTTGATATAAATTCATTAAAAATCAATTTGATATTGTATGAATATTGATATAATATTTGTATTTTAAGGTATGTCATTCCGGACATGAGTTATGTCAAGAATTTTTCTGATAAGTATATTTTAGATGACTACTCATATAGCATGACTCAAGATCACAAAGAAAATAAGGGTTCAGTGTGCATCTTACTGAGTAATGGTACATTTAACTTGACCTTTTTTGCACTTAAATTGCAACTTTTAGGTTAATCACTTTAACCTTTAATATATTTTACCAGATGTAATCATGGCAATAAATATAATCTTTTTTGTAAAAAAAAAAAGTTTGAATAATATCTATTATTGAAAAAGTCCTGCAATTTAATGCACGTAAATTATTGTGTGACCTTTCTTAACTAAAACGTTTCAAGTTTGGGTATTTAAAAATTTAAATAGGCAATAAAATATTTCTTGTATCAAGCTTTTTACGACTTAAGTGCTGATCGGTTGGAAGTATCATGTAGTTTTAAATAACGAAAGAAAATGTTGAGGCCAGTGATGTTAATTTTGAGATATTGGTCAAAATATGCAATTTTCAAGCAAAAATAAATGTGAATTTTACCATGACTTCTTCAATGAATCTTCATTTTTTGGCATTGTCTGTAAAGTGAGTTTGTAAAATTTGTTCTGAATATATTAATTGATACCAATATTTATTGTTCCTAACATATGATAACGAAAAAAATTCTATGGGTAAAAATAGGTAGGGCTAATGTTTCAAGATATTAAATTTAAGAAATGTGTAGATTTGAAAAATTTTCTTCTAAATATCCTTCCACCACAAGAAAATTTCCCCATAAATCTTGTTTCTTTATGATTTGGAGAGCATTTTTTAAAATTGAATATAGTGCAATTTGCATTGTTTAGATCAAATATGTAATAAAAATTGAGCTTTGAAGTTAGAAGGTTCTGACAAAACTTCTCTCAAAAGAAGACGAGTGACATTCAAATTTCAACAACCAAATTGCAGAGTGTCATGTCTCAATAAGACGACAGATTTACAGTCTAAAAATTAACGTAATGATTAGTATATTTGGTGTTTTATTGGAGTGTAGCATTGTTCATCATAAAAAAATACAACTATCAAAGCTGCAGATGGGCATGTGTAAAACTCTAACACAACCAGTTGAAAGATATATGGTACATTATTTGTTCTAATTAATAACTACACCATAGGAGATGCATCAGGCAATAGGAATGGAAAAATCAGTGAAATAAGGTTGACATGATTTTTTTCCTTGCACTCTCTTCTTTTTATGATAATTAAACAATATTTGACGGGCGTATTATGTGCCATGGCGGTGCACTTCATTCAAATATTTATCTACTTAGTCATAACATGATTTTCTAGAATTTTGACTGGAAATGATGCATACCTGTAGATCTAAAATGTAACATAGGGCATATCCATCTACAGTTTGTAATCGCTCATTTTGCCGGAAAAAATAAGTTAATAATATGCGTGACTTGACAATTTAAACTTCCTTGTGAGTTTATCTTGACTGGCATATATACTTCATTTACGCCTTGGTTAATGCTGTTTATTAGGGGTATATCCCTATCGAGTACAGATTTTTCATTCTTTTATCTAATTGAAATAGTAGTTGAATTTTCCAGTAAACTCCCACTCCATTAATTCCTACAGCAAGACTGTTAACTTGAAACACCCCACCCAATCAAAGAAAAGACGATTATCAGTAACTTGAAAGATAAACATTTCAAACATATTTTATAATTTATTCAATATTATACATTTATTGACTGGGTTCGAGGGCAACATGCGTTTTGTCGGACCCAAGATCCAAACTGTTTTCCTGAGGCCGTTAGGCCGAAGGGAAACAGTTTGGTTCGAGGGGTCGAAAAAAACGCATTTTGCCCGAGAACACAGTCAATAAATGTTTTGTTATACCTTTTACTTTTTATTTTGACATAACATGATGTAAATTTTGTTTATCCGCACTGCGGTTTAATTTGGTCAATTCCGTAAAGTTCTGTCGAACGCCAACGAATGCAAATAAGATACAGCTGACCCCGCCCACACTGTGACGTAAGCGGTCCAACATCTCATCGACAGGTCCAATATCTCGCTCTGCGGTCAAACATCGATTTTTTATGACCGCTCAGTAAACCATTGGAAATGTAAGACTTTTTTGTTTTTAGTATAGAATTATATAGAAAACAATTTTAAAGATATAACAAATATATATATAATCACATAGTATTATAATACCAGAATAAATCTCTCAATCTCATAACAATGTTTCAATGAGCATCCCCTATATTCCATTTGCTTCTCTTACAAAGACTTTTCAGAACAATTCTCTTAAACCGCCTGTCCAGAAAACCGTAAATGAGGGGATTTACTACGTTGTTAATGAAGATGGACCTTGTCACTATAGGTAACACAGCTGAAGTTACTGGTCCAGGTTTGGCGATAAACCCGCCCTTGATGGCTGTCCATACGGTGATAACCAAGTGTGGAAGATAGCTTAAGATGAAAGCCAGGCAAATAGCAAAGGCAATTCTGGTGATTTTGGTTTTTGACCGAGGGTCTCCTTTAGTCTGACTTTGTTTTGCCGGGTTGAACTTTACAGTATAATCCGAGTGTTTGGGCGTGAGATCCCCAGACTGTGAAGCTATGTTTGAGATTTTTTGTAGAACCACGGCTTGTTGTCCGTTGCTTTGCAGTGAAGTAGAAGAGGTTTTCTTCGAGGAAATTGATGACAAGCTGGTGGTTTCGATTGAGGTACGAAACCTAATGTGTTTGAAGACCTTTTTACCAATGAGGATGTAAATCACAGTCAGAAATATAATTGCAAAAACGAACAACAGGAAAAGGACCCCATTGAGAACTACAGGGTAAATTGTGTTTTTATACCTGTCGTCTGTTGAACAATCGTAACCAGTCACGTTGTATGGAAGCCGAACATGTCTTGTTCCAATCAGGAAGAAAACCGGCCATGAAAATAAAATAGCTATTATCACAGCTACGCAACAGAAAACCTTTGCTTTAAATACAGACATCTGAGTTTTGAGCGGCCTGCACACTCTTCTGTATCTGTCGAATGATAATCCAATTATTAAGAAAACTGAAGTCAAAGCCACGACGGTGTTATTAAATCGGAAAAACTTACATGCTCCTACTGCATAAAATGTGTACTGAAAGTTCATTTCGATAATCTCAAAAGGCATGCAAACCACAGACCCCACCAGGTCTATAATGGCTAAAGCCACGATGAAGGTTCTGTGGGTACTGCTGTCAAATTTGAACAAATAGACGAACAACACTGTTAGATTTCCTGGAACACCAAGCAGCATGAGAATTCCCAGGTAGATCATAGGAGCTAACCGTCTTTGAACCTCAATTTGGTTTAGTTCCTCAAGTGTAAGCCCACCGTCAGGAGTCGTTGATTCCATAGCTGGTGACACTGCCATGAACCATTTATATCTCTCGAAATAAGTGTTTAGCAAAGTCTTCAAAAATATTTCTACCGCCTTGACATAGAAGATAGTTACAAGTTTGAACTTTTTTAGGAATCCTTTTTAAAACTGGTGTAATTCCATAAATAATAACGTCTGTGCCACCTTAGACCAACGGATTAGGAAAACAAATTCTCCCTTTTGCAGAATGCAAATTAAATTCTAAAAGTATATAGGCACAATAAAAAGACACATTGTATTAAACCTTGGCAAATATCTTTGTTGTTGGATGGTGATGTTCATTTAGTATCAAATTTCATTTTCCTGCACTGCAGAATACATACAATGTTAAACTTGCTTTTTAATGCATAACGGGACGTTATTTATTATTTGTACATGGTACGACTGTATATTTTTGAAACAATTATTTATTCTTGCCTTTCAAGTTTTCCTTTTTTGTAACTTAATGGCCAGAATGTTTTAAATGCAACACAATACGTAATGTTCCATCCCTTCAAATACGGGGAAAAAAACCCAGTGACAATATAAGTTACTGTTATTTAAACTTTACATATATTTAAATAGTCCATATACATGTACATATTTTGATACAATTAATAAGTTTTAATTACTAGTATATGAGTGCAAGGGGAAGAACTAAGGTTTACCGCACGTTGCAGTTTTATTTGGGTTGGTATGATAAAACAGTATTTATGTCAAAACATGCTGACCAAATTGTTGAAATATTTCATAATTATATTTTTTTGCTTTTTTTAATTGCGATTATTATAAAAAAATTTTGGTATAGGTTTCTCTGTTACTATAGATTATACTTTGTTGTAAACTTTTTAAAAGTTTTTTAGTCAAGGAACAAACCAATGATATTTAATTATCTAGACCTTTTATCATGTTTTTTCAAATACATGAAAATTAATATGGGCAAATGATATTGTGCAAAAAAACCTTGATCCTAATTTAACCTTAGGACCTTTATGTATTTGCCAATCAGTCCGTTTCCAAAATTAACACTTTAAACTTTATCTTCATGTACTCTTCAATACTAGTATTTAATACAGTATAAACTCTCAAGCTTTTCACTGCGTAGTGAACTAAACGCCAAAACATGCCAATCTAGAAAATTCTATAAATATTCACAGGAAAGCTAGTATAACTTTTACTAAATTCTTTATTAATTTACTATGAAAATATTCATCATAAAAAACGTACGAAATGAAATATTAAGATAACAAACAGTGAAACATTCACAGAAGTTCATTTAAACAATACAGTTTTATATGAGCAACAGAGGTGGGATCAGGTGCCATTGAGGTGTAAGCGGTCATACCCGCCGTGTGCTCCTACTCATAATCGGATAAACGGAAAACTTGGTAGATAATTCAGTATGAAAATAATGGCCTTGAGAAAGACGTCCGTCAACCTTTGACTTAACGTCAGATTGTATTTGCAGACAAGGTCACTCTATCGACCATAGAATTTATAGAATTTACGATATGTTGACTTTAAATGATATTGTTGATATCCTTGTATCATCAACTTATTTGTGAATAGCTTACCTCGTTTTAGATATTGTTTGTACGAATAACATACTCTTTCGTATCCAATCAACTTGGAGATATAAACTCCATATGCAAATGATAATGGCATATTGCTATATACTTAGTACATAAATAAGGGAATAGAAAAGTCAAAGTCACCACGTTTATCAAAGTTTAGTTGTCAGTTTGCCATCAACATCTCCCTCTAGTAAAACTTCCAAATATGAAACAGAAGTGTTAGACGCTGTGGTGTCTTTTATTTCGAGTTCATTGGGTATATACATACGAATGAACTGAATATCATTAATTGATAAAACGTCTTCTATTTACAGTATCTTAATGTCAAATTGAAAGCCAAGCAAGAGACTTCTGCTTCATGTAGAAGTTTTTGAATAAATTCTGCTTCACATGAATACAAAAACAGGTCTGCTTATCACGGGGCACAATTATTTTCCTCGGGAATTCCAACATATTGTTGGAAGACTAAAATAGATACATGTATTGTCAATGAGAAATTAAGTATCCTTTTTTAATATCAGCCTCAGAGTAGTTGTGTATACAATCACTCGGAATGCTTTTTTTTAACAAAATAAGTTTGCAGATGACCATTGACATGGTATGCAAATTTACAACTTCCACTTTTATTGAAGAAGTTGTCTATGGTGTCTGGCTTTAACATATCGTGGAAATAGTTGTTTAAAGTATTGAAAATTTGCAAGTTTCGATGCTATTGATATTTTGTAAAATATTGTGATTTCAATTTTTCTAAAAGTTACTTGGAGTTTTAAAGTATCCACATCTGATTAACACCGGTTTTGGAATATGTTGTTTTACAGTACTCCTGAAGTCTCCGTGAGGAGTAAAGAAAAAAGCTTGGTTGAACATTTACTATTACATTGTGAACCTTTGCTTCTAACCAATATCAAAACCATTAAGAATGACAAGCATAAATTATGAGAGTATTAATGAGAATATGTGCTTCTAATTCTAACTGGATTTCATTGCTTCTTTGCAAATATGTATAATAGAGTTTCATGTCATCCATATTATACAACAGACAAATTTGAAAGACACTTTCATATTTCTTGATTTTCCAGGTCTTTATTAAGTTTTTTCAGTTTTATTTCCCTTTCAAGGTTATTTCACTTATATGAAACGTCACCATATGCCGGTGAAGAGCTTTACTCTGCACTCAGGAACATTGATCTTTATCGAGCCAATGCCTGCCGTGACATTGGGCCTCAGTTCTTAAGGTCCTGCAACTTTCACTTCAAAGTGCCGAGCGCTTTGTGAAGGAACAGTCGCTACATATTTTTAGTGACTTGGGTTTGTCGCGACCCGGGCTTGAACCCTCGACCCTCCGATCATGGAGCATTTTTAGGTCTGGAATGATAAAGTAACTGTCTAGAAAATCAACGACAAAATTCAATGAAATAAAAAATTCCTCATTAACACAAGAAATCATTCTGAAACAAATTCCTCAAGGACTGACCTCATGACACAGCTAGAAACTTTTGTCTTGATATATGGATATGCACAAAGAACTTTTTTTTAGATAGATATCATTTGTAACTGGGTTTCTCTCAATATAGATTCCTCTGGGATGGCAAAAATAAAATAAAAATAGTATAATGATAATTTCCTTCTACAAGTAAGACCTTGGATAACGTTACAAGTCAAAAGTATCTTGTCGTGAATCTCTAGCATGCTGGAGAATTTAAATAATGGATAGACATTAAGTAGTAGAACTTTCCTAATTAATTAATTAATTGACACAACACAAAACTTAAATTTATCGGTTATTTTTTCTTGCAGACACTATTGAAAACAATTCTCCTAAATCGCCTGTCAAGGAAACCGTAAATGAAAGGGTTCACAATGTTATTAATGAAGATGGACCTTGTCACTATAGGTAACACAGCTGAAGTTATTGGTCCAGGTTTGGCGATAAACCCGCCCTTGATGGCCGTCCATACAGTGATAACTAAGTGTGGAAGATAGCTTAAGATGAAAGCCAGGCAAATAGCAAAGGCAATTCTGGTGATTTTTCTCTTGGAATTATCTTCTGGAGTAGTTTCATTTCGCTTTCGGGTGCTATTTCTTCCATTTTCCTTTGACGGTTTGGGCTCCTCCCTGGGAGATATCTTATTGTTGACATTCACAAGTATAACTGCTTCTTGTCCGTTACTATGATCTTTTGTAGATGACGTTTTTCTCGAGGAAATTGACGAAGATTTAGAGGACTTGAATGTGTTCCGAAATCTAATGTGTTTGAAGATCTTTCTACCGATGAGTATGTAAATCACAATTAAAAATACGATCGCAAAAACGAAGATGAGGAAAAGGATACCGTTGTGAGCCACTGGGTAAATTGTCTTCCTATATGCGTCATCAGTTGAACAATCATAACCAGTGATGTTGTATGGAAGCTGAACATGTCTTGTTCCAAGCAAAAATAATATCGGCCACGAGAACAATATAGAGAGAAACACTGCTATACCACAAACAACCTTCGCCATGAACACAGTCAACTGGGTTTTCAGTGGTTTACATACTCTTCTGTATCTATCCACAGACAATCCAATCATTACGAAGATAGATGTCAAAGCCACGAAGGTATTGTTGAACCGGAAAAACTTGCATGCTTCCACTGCATAAAAAGTGTATTGAAAGTTCATTTCGATAATCTCAAAAGGCATGCAAACCGCAGACCCCACCAGGTCTATAATGGCTAAAGCCAATATGAAGGTTCTGTGGGTACTGCTGTCAAATTTGAACAAATAGACGAACAACACTGTTAGGTTTCCTGGAACACCAAGCAGCATGAGGATTCCCAGGTAGATCATAGGAGCTAATCGTCTCTGAACCTCAATTTGGTTTAGTTCCTCAAGTGTCAGAACTGCCTCAACTGTCTTCGACTCCATAGACGATATTGTAGTCAAATTCCCATCGTAACCTGTAGAGATGTTCGCTAAATTTTCATAGTGTTGAGTTGAATTTTCGTATGGGTTGTCCATGATGCTTTGTTATCGATATAGTTGTTGACAAGCCTGAGAACCTTAGAAGGAAGTTTTAAATCATATTAAGATGCCTGGGTCATATATTTAGGCTTGTGATAATGTACGTTTATTTTTTCAAGTGCAATTTCCGAAATAATTATTACTGAGTACTTATAAACAACACACTAACATACATACTTTAAGACGATGGGACATAGCAATCACTGAATAAAACTTGTTGTGCTCTAGCAACTACTTGACTTTAAAGTACCACTTAATACTCATGCACTAGTGGGATAGGAGGATAACACTACTGAATAAGGTGCGGAAATAAAGAGGATGGCACCTTGACAATGTTTTGGCTCATTTTTATGGAGAAGAAATATTCGTTATTTTGTTTACACACTTATAATGCACAGAACATTTATTGCATGATATATACAGGTGTTATAAATTTTCAACTGTTATTAATTTCTGTCTTCCAAGTATGCTCTTTGTTTATATTTATGACTAGAACACAAAAATGCGACAAACACAGTAGAATCAAGATTTGATAAAAGGGGACAAAATCGAACGCGTCTATTTATATCATTATCCTAAAGAACGAGACTAAGTCACTGTAAACATGCAGGATTTTAGTTCTCGCAAGTTAAATTCTTCTTACCAAAGTTTGAAAATTGTATTGAGATTTTCACCGTCGTTGAAGTTTTATAGAACTGTGTAAGTATGGTGTTCCGTTGGGGCCACTCGCACCTTCGCTTTCTCGCCTTTAGGGCGAAGATGCGAGAGTGCGAAGTTGCAATGGCGAAGGAGCAAAAGTGCGAAGATGCGACGGCGAAGCGCGAAGATGCAAAGGCGAGAATGCGAGGGTGCGAAGGCGAAGGAGCGATACTAATATCGCACTTTCGCCTTCGCAACTCCGCACTTTCGCCATCGCATTTTACTTCTGTGGAGCTCTTTATCGTTATGAGTTTATTTTAGTGGGCTCTTAGATGTTATTGGTACGCATGCACTAGATTAGTGTGACTGCCCCAAAATGGATGTACAACTAGGCTTGAACATTATCATGATTATGTAACTCTATTTTAAAACGTAATGCCCACTATATGTGTGTGCACTTCAAGACTCCTGTCACTTTTTAGGTCACCTGAGTCACTCAGGTGACCTATTGCTATCTGTTTTCGTCCGTCGTCGTGCGGGTGTGCCTCGTGCGTAAACTTTTCACATTTTCGACTTCTTCTCAAGAACCACTGGGCCAATTTCCACTAAACTTGCCACAAACTATCCTTGTGTAAAGATGATTCAAGTTTGTTCAAATGAAGGGCCTCACCTTCTTCCAAGGGGAGATAATTAAGAATTAGTGAAAAATTAATGGTATCTTTTAAAAAATCTTCTTCTCAAGAACCACTGGACTAGGTAAGATGAAACTTATGTGGAAACATCATCAAGTAGTGTAGACTCAAGTTTGTTAAAATCATGACCCCCAGGGGTAGGGTGGGGCCACAATGGATGATCAAAGTTTTACATAGAGATATATAGGAAATTTTTTTAAAAATCTTCTTCTCAGGAACAGCTAAGCCCTAATTGGTCATATTTATATGGAAGCATCCTCAGGTAGTGTAGATTCAAGTTTGTTCAAATCATGACCCCCGGGGGTAGGGCGGGGCCACAATGGATGATCAAAGTTTACATAGAAATATATAGGAAAAGTCTTTAAAAATCTTCTTCTCAAGAACAGCAAAGTCGTGATGAGTCATATTTATATGGAAGCATCCTCACGTAGTGTAGATTCAAGTTTGTTCAAATCATGACCCCCGGGGGTAGGGCGGGGCCACAATCGATGATCAAAGTTTTACATAGAGATATATTAGAAAAATCTTTAAAAATCTTCTTCTCAGGAACAGCTAAGCCCTGATTGATCATATTTATATGGAAGCATCCTCAGGTAGTGTAGATTCAAGTTTGTTCAAATCATAACCCCCTGGGGTAGGGTGGGGCCACAATGGATGATCAAAGTTTACATAGAAATATATAGGAAAAATCTTTAAAAATCTTCTCAAGAACAGCAAAGTCGTGATGAGTCATATTTATATGGAAGCATCCTCAGGAAGTGTAGATTCAAGTTTGTTCAAATCATGACCCCCGGGGGTAGGGTGGGGCCACAATGGATGATCAAAGTTTTACATAGAGATATATAGGAAAAATCTTTTAAAATCTTTTTCTCAAGAACTGCAAAGCCATGATTAGTCATTTTGATATGATAGAAGTTTTACATAGAAATACATAGAAAAAATATTTAAAAAATTTCTTCTCCAGAATCACTGGGCCAAGAAAAATGAAACTTATCTGGAAACATCCTAAGGTAGTGTAGATTCAACTTTGTTCAAATCATGACCCCCAGGGGTAGGGCAGGGCCACAATGGATGATCAAAGTTTTACATGGGAATACATTGGAAAAATCTTCTTCTCCAGAACCACTGGGCCAAGAAAGATGAAATGTGGAAACATCTTCAGGTAGTGTAGATTCAAGTTTGTTAAAACCATGATCCCCAGGGGTAGGGTGGGCCACAATGGACAATGAAAGTTTTACATTGGAATATGTAGGGAAAATCTTGAAAAAATTCTTTTCTCAAGAACAGCAAAGCCATGATTGGTAATATTTACATGGAAACATCAGGTAGTATAGATTCAGGTTTGTTCAAATCATGACTCTGGATTCTTGGGATAGGGTGGGGTCACAATGGACGATCAAAGATTTACAAAAGCTCCTTTCAGTTTATTTTATACTTCTATGGATTGTTGTTTTATACTCAGGTGACCGTTAAGGCCCTTGGGCCTCTTGTCTTAAATAGCATACCTTAATTCAATACCGTGGTTTAATTACAATAACATTCGAATTTCATTATGCAAAAATCCTTGCTGGAAATATATTCGGAACAGACTGAACAGTTCATCTTCTGCAGACGCCATTTTTATAAATAAAATTATCTTCAAACGATAGAGAACTCCACAAAAAAAGGCGAAGGCGAAAGTGCGAAGGTGCGAGGGCGAAGGAACGATACTAGTATCGCTCCTTCGCCTTCGCACTTTCGCCGTCGCGCTTCGCCGTCGCATCTTCGCACTTTTGCTCCTTCGCCTTCGCACTTTCGCCATCGCAACTTCGCACTCTCGCATCTTCGCCCTAAAGGCGAGAGTGCGAAGGTTCGAGTGGCTCCAACGGAACACCATAATGTAAGTAATGAAGTAACCATAAACTGCAGTGAGTGAAGTTTCAAGCTATAATTTCAAATCAACAGAAGCTGCATTAAATCACTGCGACTTCTTTAATTGAGTTACGTAACCAATCTAAACAGATGGAAAAAAAATATCTGTACATCCTTATTATTATGTGTAAAGTCTTTAAGTAAAAATATACTGGCTAAATATTACATTCTTGAAAGAAAACATATCTTATTTCTTTACTCCTGGCTTTGGGGCCATAAACTTTTGATCTCAGTCTCACTTTTACAAAAGGAATTTATAGTGGAACTGTAAGACCGAGATCAAAAGTGAGTTTCATGGTCCTGGAGCCTGAATTTCGAGGAGACCAGCTGCATAAATGTGATGATGATTATAATACATCATCAACCTGTAAATTTTTTGTCATATAAGCACAAGTTCATGGTTTAAATACAAGATCAAAGTTCAAGATACAAGGTTCAATACTAGTTCAAGGTGGGACCAAAGTGGTAATAGCCTGAGAAACTCAAGGCCCTTACGCCTCTTTTATTTGGGGGGGGGGGGGGGGTTATGGGAGTAATAGACATTTTTGCTGAGGTGATACAAGCTTTAGATTAGTTAGCATTGTTTATCCAGTTCCTAGTGTAAATTAGCATTTGTTTTCTTGTGTTTAATCTTCTTTTTCATTCGCCTCCTGTGTAAAGGTATGCAATCATACAACCTTGAAATTGTGATGATGTTTTATAATATAGTTTACAATTTGTGTCTTTAAATATCTTATATACATGACGTATAAAATTTTCAATGTACCTTGAAATCATTTTAATTCGGCGGGGCCAATGTTCGTGGTAAACGAAAGATTTTAATGGTTCGTGCTTAATTTTGTGGGTTACTCGTGTATACAAAAAGATTCAATGCATGAACCCACATTGACAAGTTATTGTTCGTGAGGGTGTACATTTGTGGGTAAAGGTGATCCAAGAAATCCTCGAACATTTTATACCCACGAACAATAAAGATTCCACAGTTATTATAATGTAATTCAATCTATTTGTTGAACAAATGTATTACAAGGAGAAGGTTCACTAAGTTGGAAGAACTAGTATCCAATCCTTTTGTGTCTATAATACAAGAGGCCCTAGGGCCTTAATGGTCACTGAGTATAATGTAACAATCCATAAATTAAAACAAAATAAGCTGATAAATAGAGCTATTTTGCCCAAAAGCATGAGAAATAGGATGATCAGGGACCAGCAAAATATTCATTTAGTACTCAATAACAAATCATAATGTTGATCTATTTATTTGTGTCACTATCCTCATGCGGACTAAACAAAACAATATTTCTAGAGCACTATTAGTTAACATATTTCACTCCCCCTCACATTGGCATCTCTTAGTCTTTGAAGATTATTTAATGTACAAAGATATGGTATTTTTGTCCCATTTTCATTTATCTTTTGTTTAAGTTTACCTGACCATTAAAAACTACGATAGTACTTTTAGTATTCAATAATATAAAAATTCTTATGAATACAAGGCTTTATCTGTAATCTCTACTTGTTTAGCTGATTTCTTACTTTTGCATCATTTTCCAATCTGTTTATTGATCCCTATTGAATGTTGAATGCCAATTATATTAATATTTTGAAATTATGTAATTCAATTGACCTTTTGATTCACATTTTTACAGTGATTAACTATCACAGGTGAATAGCAAAGAGGAATAACTTCTTTCAGTAGAAATTAATAAATTGACCAAAGAGTACAGAATTTCAAAATCTGTTAAAATCAGTTGCTTATTACAACTTTATATACTCTATTTGCCTCCTAGATGCCTAGAGCCTCACCTTAAAACCAAAATCTCTGACCCCAGGGCTATGAATTTTAAACCTTTTTGAAAAGATATCCTTGCTCATCAAACATGCAATTAGTTTTTCTGTTTAATTCCCAGGGGCATAGAAGAAAATTATCAAAAACAATAATAATAATGCATTTCCACAATATATTCAATAAATCCCCCACTCCCACATGAACCCCTGATCCTGGAGCCACACATTTCACAATTTTGGAAGAGGGATCCTTGATCATCATAACCATGCGCCTAGTTTATCTGCTAAATACCCAGGGGCAGAGAAGAAGATTTTCAAAGAATACAATTAACATCAGAACCCCTGATCCGGGGGCCAATATATTCAAAATTTTAGAAGATGCACTCTTACTCATTATAACTATATACTTGATTTATCTGGTAAATACCCAGGAGCAGAGAAGAAGATTTTTTCAAAGAAATATGCACTTTCACCATACAATCAATAGAACTCTACCCTTCCTTCCTGTAGAACCCCTCACCTTGGGGCCATAAATTTCACAATTTTGGAAGAGGCATCTTTGATCATCATAACCATGCACCTACTTTATCTGTATTATACACAGGGGGAGAGAAGAAGATTTTTTGCATTTTCACCATATGATCAATGGAGCCATGCCCTTACACCAGAACCCCTAACCAAGTGCTAAGATATTCACAATTTTGGAAGAGCCGTCCTTGCTCAAAATAACAATATACTGGGTTTGTTTGCTAAATACCAAGGAGCAGAGAAGACTTTCAAAGAAATAATGCATTTTCACTATATGATCAATAGAGTCCCCCACTCCTGCGAACTCCTCACCCTGGGGCCAAAAAATTTCACAATTTTGGAAGAGGCGCCCTTGATCATCATAACCATGCAGCTACTATATCTGTTTATATACAAGGGGAGAAAAGAAGATTTTTAAAGAATTTATGCATTTTCACTATAGAATTAATAGAGCCCTGCCCTAATACCAGAACCTCTGAACATGGGGCCAAGATATTAACAATTTTAGAAGAGCTGCCCTTGCTCATCGTAACTGTAAACTTGGTTTATCTGCTAAATACCCAGGAGCAGAGAAAAAGATTTTCAAAGAAATAATACATTTCTATTACATAATCAATAGATCCCTTCTCCTGCAGTATCCCTCACCCCGGGGCCACAAATTTCACAATTTTGGAAGAGGCATCTTTGATGATCAAAGCCATTCACCTAGTTTATCTGCTTTATATACAGGGGGAGAGAAGAATTATTTAAAGAATTTATGTATTTTCAATATGATCATTAGAGCCCCACCCTAACTCCGAAACCCATAACCCTGTGGCCACGAATTTCACAATTTTGGTAAAGGGTTCAATGCTTATTAAAATCATGCCAACGGTTTGACTGCTTGATGTCCAGGGGTACAGAAGAATACTTTTAAAGATAACACTAATTTTGATGGTTTTACCCCACCCCTCAGGCCTCAGGAGAGGAGGACAGGGACATGAAATTCACAAATTTTGTACCCCTTTTCCCATTGATGCTATATGCCGAATTGGTTGAAATTGGGTCAGTGGTTCAAGAGAAGAAGCTCAAACTGTTCATAAGTTTGCGACCGACGAACGACGACAGGCAAAACCAGATAGCAATAGGTCACCTGAGTGACTCAGGTGACCTAAAAATACATTCAAAACAAATGATATGTACTGGTAAAATTATTGGGGCACTCCGATCCCGGTTTCTGCGGATTTGTGGATGTACAATCTTCTCGTAGAACCATTCCAGTGTTACTGCAAACGCAGTCACCTAATGACTCGCTAAAACAGTAAACAGCTATATCTATAATTGCTACTGGTGCCATTTCATCAACATTTTGCCGATTTAATCAATTATAAATTTATTTTTTTCTTATCTGTATTGTCATTCTCCATCTACAAGTATATGTTTGTACCGAGTAGGATTTTATACGATTTATTATCATTCTTACTAGTATTTTTTTAAAGAACCGACAGTCCAGTTTTGACTGTCTAACAAATATTGTATGATGTCTTGCATGTATATATAAGTATTAGGCTAATCCCTATAAATGTGCTGTAAGATGTATTTCTTCAAACTAGAAAGTGAATTTTAAAAATGAAATAGGTAAAGGGTATGCTCTAATAATAATTTTTAACTCAGATTGCCAACTGATTTATGTTCTTTTGAAAAGATTTTTCAAAGGTGAAATGAATTTTCAATACATGACCAACTTAACGCCACCCTAGGATCTGAACCAGGGGCCAGTGGACCACGAATTTTGCAAGTTTGGTTGAGTCTTGAGGGTTTTTTTATAATCATGTTAACAGTTTGCCTGCTAAATGTAGAGAAGATTTATAAGATACCGTATAGCGGGAATTTTAGCGGGGTGCTCACTTTGGCTTATTTTAGCGGTTTTGTAGTAGACCGCCAAAATTTAAATAATATAAATAACTTTGATCAGTCTCTCGTTAAACGTTGTAGCTTCCATCTGGTATTGCAATTTACTCTAACACTTGCGTAAATCGGTATTCAAACGTATATTAAATGTACTGAAAGTCATCAAAAAGATGAATTTCCTCTCTTTTGCAAAATCATGGAAGTCTCTGTCCTCCAAAATTACTGCATACCTTTGAGCAAGCAAAACGCGAAATTTTACACCCGCTAAAACTCGCTATATGGTATAATGCGTTTTCAATATATAACCGACTAAACCCCGCGTCAGAGCCTAAATCCTGAGGTCATGAATTTCACAATTTTGATAGACGACTCAATGCTTGTTATAATCATGCCAAGAATTTGCCTGCTTGATGTTCCGGAGTAAAGAGATTTTTGAAGATTGAACTAGCGTTGATGGTTGTGGCCACTTCCCTCCGGCCCCAGGGAGGCAGAGACCATGAAAATTAGTCTTAGTTCCCAAAAATTCACAGATACTATATGTCAAAATTGGTTTGGAAGTTCTAGAGAAGAGGCTGAAATTTTTCAAAAGTTTACAACAGATAGACGACAAACGATAAACACTGTTAAAATTGAAATTGTTTCCTTTGTGCCTGACATCAGAGGTTGGTACTTATAGATAACAACTATGCAATTCAACCAGTATAAATCCTTGCATTCGCCTACAAGATGTTTACTTTCTGCAATTGATTTGGTTTCCTTTTAGCAGATCTTAAAAGGGAATATGATATTTCATGCATTGAATGTCTCGTTCGTGTGCCTCAGAAATATTAGCCCAGTCTTAATGATCCAATAAACTGTACTGCTCAGTTCATAGAATGAATTATTCTCTTGACAGTGCATATGAAGACGTTGCGTCTTGCAGTAATTCCCCAAAGAAGCAATTTCCCCATTTTATCTTTTGACGGATTTCAGCATATCACGATGCCTTATAATTGACTGCATTTTATTTAATAATAAATATCTATATTATTTATATCTCTCATACAAAAATAAATTGTTTTTCACAATATAATGCTTAAAGTTTTTTTTTTCTTTCTTCCATTATACGGAGACTTTTGGTTCCGTCATGTTAGATGGGTTGGCATTGTTGTAGTAAGTGTAGACGGGAGCGAACTCAAGCTGACCCTGCGTATGTTTGTTATCTCCCTCATCTGTAATGTCATACCGTCCAAAGACACATTCTGAGTAACTAGGTGCTAAAAAGAAAAATAAATGCATGCATGTACGTTGTTAATGCTAAGACGATCTTTATCGTTCTCATACATCTTGATTCTGCATGAATAGAATATATTGTTTCCAGTTCTTTTTTGAAAAAAGGAGACCTAAGACAACTATTTATGAACTTGGACAAATATAATAGAAGATATCAATTTGTTTCAGGGAAAAAATGTTTTTAGTGGTTAGTCTAAAAGTTGATTTTTACTTACGTTGGCTGTCACTGGCAAATGAAGGCACTGACATGGGCGGGGCTGACGATGTGACAACACAATGATTCTGAAGCGCCAACTGAGGGCGTAATGGTACTGTTCCGATGATCACCTCTATAGGAATCTCTAAATTGGACGAGGGGCCAAGAGTTTGGATGACCAACTGTCAAAATTTATTTTTAGAACTAGAATAATTTTTTCTGAAAAAAATAATTACTCGAAGTACTCTAGTGTAACGTATAATGAAAACAACATGTTATGGAAGAAGTTTCATAAAATTTGTTCTGCTCATCCAATTACCTGAAGAAGAGCATATTGAAATGATGAAAAATCATGGTTAAAAGATCGTATTTGATATTTATGAATGTAGTAATTTCTTGTCACTATTTTTTTTAAATATAGTACTTGTTTTAAAGCTTATATAAAATGCCTGGCATAAATAAGTACCTTTAAAAAGTATCGAATGTCAATGATATTACAACCCTCCAGAAATGAGGGGGGCACAGGGGGAATAGCAAGGCCACTTCCTTTCCAAACAATTGATTCACCACCCCCGACTCCTAGATGCATGACTTTGGTTACCTCCTTTTTGAGCTTTCGTGTTTTATAGGTCTTCATTCTCGCCGGATTTTTTGGCAGAAAAACTAAAACCTCTGAAATCTTTTCTTCTGTGGCTGTACGTTTGAGAGGATTTTTTATTCTGTTAGTAACAGATCGTTCCTTGAAAATTTTAGAAAAGTATATCGTCTTCTGTAACAAAAAAATATTTTCAGTTAAGTCATTTTTTTTATTCATTGATTTAAAATTCTTGAAAAAAAATGATAAGGAAAATTTTTATTTTGCAAGGCACTAAAAATATTGGAAATATTCCATATAAGATAATTTCTGAATCATACACCAACATCTGTTTCAGATAGAAAAAAACTAATTTGAAATAATTGTGGTATAAATTAGTAATAATACTAATCAAAAACTTGATTAATTTTGAATCAAATACAATTTAAGAAGAAAATCAAACATAGAAGTTAATTTCAAGTATATGCCCACGTATTACACAGTCATTTGGTAATTCTCAGCTGGCCACGGAAATCAATAAAGTGTGATTACTTTTACGATAGAGTTCTTTTACCATTTCTAAAATAGCCCAGACGTCGCACTCAAACAAGGACAGATTTTGAATTTCGGCGTTTATATCGATCATTTCTCCAGGAACAAACCCAATTCTATCAAGATGAATGGTTCCCGATATTGGACCAGACTTACAACACAGACAGAACATTCTCTTGGATCCTCTGTTACTTGTGGAGTGCTGTTATAGATAAAATATAAAAATAAAGAAAGAGAATTTTAGAGAGAAGTTAATTTCTTTTACTGTCTGAATAACGTGTGAAAAGGGCTATAATTCTGGCAAGGAAAATTACATCTTCACACCGTAATGGAAATTCATAAAGTAGACTTTATTGCCTTTATTGATCACGCTGTCAAAAGCAAGTATACGGGCTTTGGCTAAATGAGCACTTCTACGTCAGACTGGTTGGTGTAGTGCAGTCCTGCTATTATAAACAGTGCTGTCAGGGGAAAATCAAGGGCTGCCCTGATTGTTCTTTGTATGTGTGGTAGATAAAATTTCTTAGGGTGAATGACCCAATCAGAAAGAGCTTTGGGAAAAATTAGGCCTCTTTAAATTAAGCAACAAGATTACGATTTGTCGTACTAAACCCAAATGTCTACTAAATCTTGAATTTATGCTTCCATTGGATATAACATGCAGATTCTTGAAGAAATCTATGCATGATTTTTTTTTAAAATCTGAAATAATTTATAAATTCTAATTTTCTTACAAATCGTAGAATCAAAGTATCTTGATGCTATTTGAAATTCCTTATTATAATACATGTAGTTCAGTTGTCCTTTATGAATATAGAGTACTAGTACTCCACACATGGTGATCTGAAGATTTTATTTGAAGGCTTAAATGTCGAGCCTTGCTACAAATTAAAGTCTACTGTCAATGACAAGTACTGAGTCTGCTACAATGGAGCTAAAGCACAGTATCAAGTCTGATGGAGATCAACACCTGGTTTCATTACTGCACCACTACATCTCAAAAGATATCAATAAACTAGTAGAGTAAAAGCTCTGCGTACCATTACGTTCTTTTGGGTATTTAGATCCAGTGGTGATATGACAGTAAATGGCCTCTTGTAGTTTGTGTTGAAACTCCACGGCCTGTCTATGGTGGCATTAATGAAGTACCGTATATAGCCCCAGGGGCCCTCGAATGACGAGGGGAGAATATCCGGAAGACCAAAGTCAAAGGGAAAAGCATGACGTCCTATAGGGAGGGTGTTACTATCTCCTTCACCACGTCCTACAGTGCATAAAAGCTCAAAATCAGGAAGGTGGAAAATATCATACTCGAAAGGAATTATTTTGGTCCTCTGGCTTGAATTATATATGGATATTAAACAATTTCGTGTCGAACTTCAAACAACAAAAAAAACAAACAAAAACAAAACATTAGTACATGCACAAATGACTCAACCATATTGTTTGATCGAAGTTTGTCATTTTCTTTATCACAACTTTGCCTTTAATGAGTTTTCAGAATCCCTGCACGCCAAAGCACGAATAAAATCCTATTTGAAATTGCTTCTTCATATGCGTTCGCTTTATTTATTTACTTTTTTTTGGGGGGGGGGGGTCCCAAACTGACTGCCATGACATGATTTCAGATTTTTTTTTAATTTTCCACAGGACCATGTATGGCCATTCAACGAAGTCCACAGACACATTGTCTTGAGAACGGAATGCTAAAGATAAGACTATCTTTACATGGTTTATAAATAAATACAAATACATGCTTCTTTATAAATACACCAGAGGATGACAAACATTGTGTTCCAAGACTCTAACCCATCACTACTGGACTCATATTAATCCTATCCTAAAGCATTAATACCTTTTCCAAATAATGGTATCGTTCTGTTAAAGTATTCTTCTGAAGCAGAAAAGTGCTCATCCGTTGGTAACCGGAAACCCCCTTTCTTTGGCCCGGACGTTTCTTCATAAGGACTTGATGAACTTGGCCAATCAACGTACGCTTCTCCCCGAAAAGTTATCCTTATTTCTGTTTGAAAAAAATCAAAATATTAAAGATAATAACAATATTGGAAAATAAACCGCAGACTGACGATTTTATTATGTAGATAAACGATTTATTCGAAAAAGAATTAAGATTGCAAAAGCTAGGACTTTGTCATGTAGTATATCATACATATTTTTTTTTTTTTACATGATGACATTAAATTTAAAAATTTAAAACATGAGAAACACTTCACACAAAAGAATGATTTTGAGCAACAACAAAAAAATAAATAAAAATCAGAAAACACATGTCATCGGTGATAAAATGATAAAGTTTCTTACCTCTAATTTTCACAGCCTCGTTTAACTCTATTACTATTTCACCTCGGACAACTTGTCCAGGGTAGTATACTCCTTGATGATTTTCTAATTCTATAATGAATGTCTGAATCTTCCCCATATCTACAGAGATTTATTTACCAAGAGAATGTTTCAATTTCTATAGTTTAAAAATACAAAATATTTATTTGTATGGGATTAGTTAAAAAATATATAATCATCTTGGAAATGAAGTATGCAAATTAAAGGGAAAATTACAGAAGTAATAAGAGTTCCTGGCTTACTGCATCACAAATTGCACCTGGATGAGTTACCTGCAGCAGATTGTCGCTTAGCGAAAATTTATCGATTTTTGAGTTTATAGCATTAAAAAATGATGCTTCACTAAACACGTTGGATCTGAAAAACTCTATTTTAATCTTAGGGTATTTGTGAAATTTGAAGGAAATGAAAGTCTTACCTCAAAGAATGTGTTTACATGGTTTAATCTCTTGACGTCTGTCTATCTACTCCTGTTTACTAGGAATCCCTGGACCATGTAAATGTCTGCTATTCTGGTAAAGTCGATGTCGTCGAAGGAACAATTACGTGATCAATATTCCAACCAGGAACAGAAACCTGTAGAATTTAACCGGATGTACAGGGCTTTGAAATTCTATATTGAGAGAAATGAGCTAAGATTTGGATTAGGTGATCTGCGACTTAAAAAAACAACATCAAAACGTAATTTTTAGGGTTTGTCGTCCACTATAAAAGTTTTAGAGTGCAGCAGGTAACAGTGAAATATTTAAAAAGAACCCTGAGCATCCTTAGCATTATTTTTCCATATTCTTCGGCAATTTTTTTTAAAAGAAGATTAATATAACACTCGAGAATTTAAAAAAAAAAAGCTGAATAATTGAACACATTTATTATTAAGAACAATAATTAGCATAATTTTCATGTAATACCCTACTAAACAAATGGAGAAAGATTAATCTTTAAATAGTCAATTGAATTTTACAAAATAATTTAGATTTAATTTGAAAAAACAAACGATTTTGCTTTAGCGATAGAGCATTATAATACTGAAATAATACCCTTTTCTGACACATTAACTATAAATCCCCTAACCTTAACATCAATTTCTCTAAATTTTGCAAAATGCAGATAGAACTTTGTAATTCTCATAAATCTATGGCGTGTAAAACTTTGCTTACGACAATTTATAGACTCTTATTTCCAAAATTCATTTGACAATTGACAGACGCTTTTTTAAAGATCAATGTTATGATATTATGTCTTCTCTTTTCTAAAGAAATAGGGTTAATATAACTTAATAATAAATATTCACTCATTCTTGCTAATAAATATTCAGAAATATTCAATGTCCTTCAAATGGTTTCTTGTCTTCATTGAATATACGTTTCAAGATTCAGTTCCTCGACATCCAAACCAATCTTTTAAACAAATAAAATTGGAACATACTATTCGGAACCGATGCTCATTAGAATTATCGTAAACTCACTTATTTTCGCGGTGTCAAACTTGCGTGTTTTTGGGAGGGGATTGCTTCGTGCGGATTTAATTACGTGATTGAAGATATGAAAATGATACTACAGTTTGAAAATTAACATGTCATGGGGGACAAGTATTCGTTGGTCCCTTTTAACCACGAAAAACAACGAAAATGACCCCAGGAAAATTAGTGATTTCACAGTATATGAATTCGTATGAAATAATTGATACGTACGTTTTTCTATGTCCGACTATTTTAATCCGTAGCTTCCAGTAAATTATCCATCTTTCGGAGAATAAGGAATGCTTAATAATTCCTATCTATGTCAATCAAAGCAATCATCACGTAATCCCCCAAAGCCTTTCTATTTTCCCAAGCTATCGACCCGCGATCAAAATCGGAGTAATATTGCCACAGATCAGACTTGGAAGGTATTTTTCTATCATTCATCGAACGTAAGAACCGAATAGAATGTTGGGAAGACGACGTTTTTTGTCCTTTGCCTGAAGTATTTGTCTTAATGAAATCTTCGATATTCGCATCCGCTGATTCTAGTCTCATTGATTATTCTTCTAAGTTCCAATTGCATTTGGAATGATCCATGGGGGACGTTTAGCAATACATTGAAGAATCTATATATACATCATTCAGTAAATTGTCTAATATCTGACAGTTAAAACATAGGTTAAATCAATTATATTTTGAAAAATGTTGGTAATTACATATACATTAGATATGGTATCATTTCTGGAGAAAGATCAAGGGCTTTTGTGTGTTGTGTGTTTTCCAGAATTATCTACCGCAAGGAATTAAAGCCTAAACTGAATAGCATTACCTTAGGCAACAAAAAGCGGAAAATCGTTATACTGGTGAAAGAGCTTTTGAAAAAGAAGAACCCACATGAGAAATATCTTTCTAGAAAAAATGATTTTACGAATATTTTAAACCCCTAAGTCTGGAAAAGTTTGCTGAAACATTCTGAAAAATAAACGGAATGCAGATCTGCAATTTGGACATTTTCCTTGGTCTGAGTAAACAGAAACTCCACCTTTTCCCATCCTTCAAAGGCAACATATCACTAGAATTAATCAATTCTAAAAAATTAATATATTTATTTTACGAATCTAAAGTCAAAATACATAAATTTATTATTTAATTTTGACTCCCAATTGCGATTTTTTTTTTATTTTTGAGACATATTAACAGGCAAATCCTACATCTATGAAGACAACTTACTTTTATTGAATGGCCATGTTTCATAATGTTCTTATTTTCAAAAAAATTCTATTTAACACGAATCCCAAGTGTGAATCGCTGAATAACCTTGCGCTTATCTCGGAAACAAAGTTTTTATTTTGGATGAATGATTATCTGCTGATTGATAATAACTATATCTGTGCCTTTGTTTACATGTTGATAATACTTTTATTATTGTCACGTTGTATATTGCAACTTTTGTTATCGTCACGTTGTATATTGCAATGCAAATTGAAGTGGACTATAACGTTATGGAAGGTAATGTGTTTTTGACTGTCAATATTAAAGAATCCTAAACATTTATAAAAATAATTTTCAGTCGTTTGTATATTTGTGCTTATGTGGTATGTTAACTGTTTGCAAGATATTTTCAACATCTGTAAATTAATACAATATTTATAATCTTTATACAGCCAAATCTACATGTACGATTGGTCATTGGGGTGAAAAAAGATTTATTTCTTACGGCTCAGTTACACTACTGGATAGCGTCAAATGTTGCAATCCGTTCAGATACCTCTCTTGTCCGTTTATTATTTGGTGTGTACGTTGGAGATTTCCTATGAAATCTGTTTTATCAGGCGGTAAGGGCTCAGTCACACCTTACCGAATAGCACAAATGAATGTCAAATGGATGAAGAAAGGGAGAAAGAACGCATTTCGTTGGTAATTTATTGCTGAAAATCGTCTCCCACCATTTTGAGGCTCTTGCGATCAAGATATGAAACATATGAAACGGACATTTTCGGACATATACCGTACAAGCAACGGTCAACTATCGGACTTCACTGTTCTCGTAACGAATGAGTACCGTGTGGAAAGAATGCACATCCAGCGCATGAAAAACAGAGGAAACCGTCAACAAACGTTAGGCTAACGATCGCACGGTCGGTGTCCGGAGCACGTCCGGTTTATCCGTTTCCCTGTTATTGTCCAGTTGTGAATTAGGTCCAACGGACATCAACATAAACAGACCGTCAAGCACAGAAAAAAGAGGCGCATGAGTTCCGTACAAAACACAAGCAAAAGGATACTTATTGTACTTTAAACGGACATATTGTACTTAAAGCGAACACCTTAGTCCGATGGTGTCCATTCCAAATTTTGATCATGCTTAAACCTTTCCGCTGGATAAAACGAACTTCTCCGGACGTTTAGCGTATTCACCGAATAAGTATTGAACAAGATACGTATTCGAGAGGATTGAAAATTTTGCCATTCGATTGACGTCATTGGCGCTATCCCGTAAAGTGTGACAAAGCCCTTTAAGTTTTGAGCATGTTCAAAACTTGGAACGAACACCGCTGAACTAAGGTGTCCGCCTAAAGTACAATTGGTATGCATTTTGCACGTTCTGCTTATGTTGATGTCCGTTTGACCTGAGTCACAACTGGACAATTACCAGTTGTGAAACGGATAAACCGGAAGTGCTCTGGACATCAATCGCATGACCATTAGTTTTACTTTCGAAAACGGTTTTGTCCGTTTTCATGCGTTGAGCATTCGTTTTACTCGGTATGCATTCGCTACTGAAATGGTGAAGTTCGTTTGTTGACCGTTAATTGTAAGGCACATTTCTGATCATCACTTTGTTTTTGTCCGTTTTATACACTTCATACGTTGAATGCAAGAGCCTAGAAAAGCGGCAGGAAATGACTTTATATCAATGCATTAACAACGAACTGAGTCCTGTCGTTCTTTGTTCTTCCGATCGACGACGTTCGTTGTCGCTATCCAGTAGGGTGTGACTGAGTCCTTCCTGAGTCAAACACTTTTTACAGGGATTTTGTACATTGTATTACATCTCTTTCTTTTAGTAACCCGAGTTTCAATTATATTGCGAGACTGAATATGAAGATTGCACTCTACCTCGTCTTTGTCACAATTTCTGTGTCTGGGGTAATATTTTAGACATAAATCTAATACTAGTTATTGTAAAATATTTTTGGAAAATTGTAGTAAAACCCATTCATGTTTATTTCCATTAATTAGAATTTCTAATCAAAATGATATCGATTTAAATATAATAAATTATGTGAAAATAAAAGAAATGCAGTAGATAAAAAAATCTACAAGGCAAACATAAAACTATTTTATTATATTTTAGGAAAAATACCAAGAAACAGGAAAATACAATGTTTTGCAGAAAAATGTCACTACGTTCATGTCAGAGGATTTGTTTAAATGGAATTCGCCAAAATCAGTCAATGACAGAGTTAGCGTTACAGAAACTCCGAAGCAACATTCAACATTGCACGCTTCAGTGAGCAAAACATTTACCTCAAGAGTTCATCAAAAAGAGACGAAAACTGTCTTATCTCAAGATAATATAGGAAAATTGTCAAATTTGACCAATAACACATTCCCAAGACAAGTGACTAAAATAATTAAAGCTTCTTCTACGACAAATGTTTATGCTAAAACTTTAAATTTGGGCGTTTCAAAATTCAATACGGAATATCGTCAGCCTTTAAGTACACCAGAAACAAGTACATCAAAATCAAGGGAAAATCAAGACTCGATTAGCAGAAAATATTTTCGTTTTACAACTCCATATACCAACACATTTCGAAGTATCAAAGTCATTTCAAAGGAGATAGCTAATCCAGAATTTAACAGAACAATACCGCAATTGTTTACCTCTCCTTTGCTATCGAAGATAACATCCTTTGTGCAGTCAGAAAGTGTTTCAAGCACAAATGATACCGTAGAACAATTAACAAACAAAGCAACCTCTTCACAAAGTTCAGAAGAAATTTTCACAGCTATCCCAACTAAAAGTAAAACATCGGAGACAAGATCGATCACAAGGACATCGTCACATCAGCAGAATAATTCTGGTAGTAAATATAAGCCAACAACAATCGACTACATATCAGATACAAGAACTAGACCTCCTCCAACATTGACAATTACATCAAGGAAGAAGATGCGAACGACAAAAGAGGACAAAAAGGAGTTTACAGATTTTGCCTCAACAGAGGCCCAAAAACAAAAACACGATTCAAAACATTTCAAACCATTTTTGACACCCGAATTATCTTCTGCTTCTTCAAAGTTTTACCAAAAAACAACATCAGAAGGAAGAATTTCCCATCCATACTCGCAGCAAAACCATGTTTACACAACAATGACAACGCTAATGCCACGCTCAGAATCTTCCAATACGTCAGTCGTTTTCACAAAGATTACACCAACAAGCCGAATTCCACACATCCTTACGTCTCGAAAACACTTTGAAACAAAGTCAGTTCCAAGCATTGTCACCAAATCACCCAAACATACAAATCATCATGAATTTCTTATGACATCCAGGCAACAGTATCGTGGAGAAACTAAGATTCTGATAAACGAAATCGCTATATCTCAGGCGACACCAAATGAACAATTTATTGAGCTCAAGATTTCAAGTAAGAAAGTTTAAAAATTCATACGTATTGAAAATATCAAGACATTCAGATTCATAAACATGGTTAATAAAGCATTTTCTACCCAGTCAAAAGATTTTTTTTTTACCTTATCCCAAATTTTCCTTGAAGTTAAAAGAGCACCCATAGCATACAGTTGTATAAAAGGATCCTGAATTGAACTGGCATTCGTTTCTTGTGTTTTTGAAACATTTACTTTTATAGGTGATTTTACACACGATCTTAGATCATACAAGGTTGTAGTATTCAGTGGAATGGGCGAAGTGTTATCTACCATTGATATGCATGGCAACACCGGAAAGCAGTACAAAATCCTGGCAAATGAAGATATTCACGTCAACATCCGAAAAGTAATTATTTAAGTGCTAATTAAATTTGTTTTCAATTATCAATCTACATTCGAAGCCCTTGCTCTTTTACAATAGAAAAGGAGTCGGTAGCTACATATAACAATCCAAATTTTTATTTTAAGACTTTTTTCTTTTCATCCAATTTAGATTTCTCAGAAGTTTATTCTTTTGATTAAAATCATTTTGTTTAATGTAGACTGTAAAGCCATTCTTTAAATTCTAGGAATTACAAGAAAAGAAGAGTCTTGCCGTGGCTGTTTATCACCGGTCACAGTCGGTGTCAAGTGATATTACTATGCACAG